ACTTGAACATAGTTCGATGTGGTTGTCGTCTTTCGGGATACAAGTTAAAATACATTTTCGATGTCCTACACTGTTTCTATCGTATTTGTAATAAATTTGTATCATATCTCTTTTTTCTTCATTCGTGAAAGCCATTTTTCGCCAAAAATTCAATGACTTGTACAATCACAAAATGTCATTGAGTGTAACAAACTGAAAGTCAAATTTAGAAACATCAACATCAAACCCTATTATGATAAGAATTAATTTTTTTCAATATCTTAAATTTTTTAAAAAGAATGATAACTCCTATGAAACATCATTGAAAAGGCAAAATCTGTTTCTATTCAAAATAGAAAGAATCCGATGTATCGCCCATGAGAAAAAATAAAGTTGCTTCACTAAACAATAACTTCATAAGACCTGTGATGCAATTGGCCGATACTTGATTAAAATTCATAGCCTATTCAAAAAACACTTTATTGTGAGATTTTCACTGAATTCTTAATTGTTGAAAACTAGAGCATAAACACAACGCATCTATGAATCAACACCAGATTACGCTGTTTCGACCCGCCTCGAATATCTAAGGTAAACGAGGCTCCCCAAAGCGGTCAGTTGCAAAGCCAAGCTTCGATATTGATCGCCGACGAAATTCGTACTGTCTTTCTCACTGCAGCTCTCACTGCCAGGCAACTAGCTGGAAACTACAGCAAAACAAGTGAAACAGTTCTGTCAAGTGATTTAACACTTGACAGAACTGTTTCGACCCGAAATAGGTTTCATCAGTAATGACGGCTGTTATAACGCGCCAACTAAGATGAGATTCTGATGCGCATTTAAAACCAAATTGTATCCGCCCTATTGGTCACACAAAAATATGTCATTAGTACAGTGGCGTCGACAGTTATCTCGTCAGAATTAACAATTTATAATGTATATAAAATAAACTAATAATTCGTGTCACCAATTTCACCAGAGTCGCTTGTGAGTGGAGAAGCATACGTCCTCTTTTATGTAAAGGATGGAACAAAATCGCACCTTTAAGATAACCGAGGGAAAGTTTCTTTGTGCAATTATTATTTATTTTTTGTTAATTTCTTACATGTATCATTTTCAATTACATATTTCGTCAGCAGATTCAGACTTTATATATTTTTGTAGCCACATGTTAATTTTTGTGAAATAGTTATATGAATACGTTTTGATAAAAGTAATCATTTGAAATCTTTAATAATTTAAGTCACTGATATACTGAGGTAGTTTGGATTATTAGAACTATTCATTGCTAAAAAACTATTGTTTGGTGAAATACGTTCATCACGTATTTTTATCCACCTCCATGAAGCTTCAGGCTTTGTAAAAATTTTGAGCCAGTTTTTCAACATCTCCATATACCTACTCAATATTATTTTTTTCATTATTTACTATCACTATTTGCCAATTTGATTCCAAAATAATTCGAGTAATAAAAAATCCAAATAAAACACGATTCAACACGCATGGAACAGGAACAGATCGAATAGATTTATTCTCTCTTCTATTTCGACTTCGATATAAACACTCCTACGTAGTTTGAACTATTTTTGTTATCAACTGGACCAATTCAGCTTGAATATTGATTGGGAAATCTCTCATCAGAGATATAAAGTAAAATTATTGCCGGTTAGAATATCTTGTCAGCGGCTAACTAGAACAGTTAAAGCTAATCTAAAATAACTAGTTCGAATGTGAATATTTTCAATGATTCGCAGATAGTTTTTATTTTTAGTTCAGGATTAGAATTTTTTCTATAATGTTATTTGGAATATTATTGAATGAATATTTATTGGTCTTTCATTAATTTTTTATTATTAATCTAACTGAACATGGCAATATAAACTCAAAAGTGAACCACTGGGCTGAACCACTTAACTGGCCCACAAAATGATAGTAAAGGCGATGACATCTCCCCCGATAACGTCATCAAGAATCAAGAACTGTTGTGCTTGATATTTCTAAAGCCTGCTATGGCTTGTCGGATCATTTTAGTGTATGGCTCTTCAGCTTCTTAAAAAACCGTTACCTGCAAGTGGCCTCCGATGGATATCTCTCAAATACTTTTCACCATCAACGCTGGTGTTTCCCGGGGATTCTTATTGTCTCCAACCTTCTTTGGCCTATTGAAAAAAAACCAATAATCCAATATACTGCTTTGCTGATTACAGGACACTTGGCTTGTCATTTTATTTGGATTCTAGGTCATCGGCTATGGAGATACCTCTTCACTGGAAGCAGGAGGTTGCATATCTTGATGGGGATCTATAAGTGATTTTGAATTGTGGTGAAAGTAACTAGGTTCAATTCTATGCCACATAAACCCAGGCATCGGTTTTCTTCAAGAAGATTAATGTCTCCGAACTAGATATAATAATGTCAGGTCAGACAATTCCGCTCTCTGCTTCGATAGGTTTTTAGGGGCTAAAATGGTCACCAATATGCCTTGGCGCAATCATGTCGCTTGAATTGCAAAGTCAGCTTCTCAAAAGGTTGGTTTCGAACCAGAAAGCTGTACACACCTCAGCAGCTTTTGATGCTTTATAAAGCTCAGATCAGACCTTCTTTGGAGTATTGTTCTCATGTATGGAGCTTTGCCCCCAAACATATCCTGAAGTTGCTGGATTCCATCCAGAAGAGAGCCATCCGCTAGATTGGAGATGCGAACATCACATGCAACCTTGATAGCTTGGAACATCGAAGAAAGATTGGAGGTTTGTTTCTCTTCTATAGATACTTTCACGGGAAGTGTTCAAGTGGCTCATCACATTTGATTCCACCAAAAACAGTATATATCAGAAATACGCGTTGGAGTGTAGCTGCTCATCGTTTTGAGTTTCAACTTAGTTCACCCCGAACTTCACTGTTAAAGAACTCGTTCATCTGGGGAACTGCGTTTATGTGGAAAAAACTTCCTGAGAACGGATTTAATCTCCAGCGATTCAAATCCAATGTGAATCGCTACTTTCGCACAGGCACCGCTCTGAGAACGACTTGAGGATTTTTCCGAAGTACTTGTGTTAAATTCTCCAACAAAAACTTTTTTTATGACGTTATGAAACAAATATGTGTTGAGTAAAAAGGTGGGCTGACGTAAGCGCGCCACGTAACTGGGTGGTCTGTCTCGTTGACTGATTATCTGTTTAAATTATTTATGTCCACAGAAAATTCAAATCTCTCGCCACGATGTTCTGAGATGCAAAAGCGTGCGCTCTGGTTGAATGGCGAGCCGCGTAACCGTTTTGAGGACTCTATGTGACAATTTGGTACACTCTGATTGGTTCACTGCTGGGTGACAGGACACCACGTGACAATTTGGTTGACTGGGTGGTCTGTCTGCCTTGCGAGCTGGCAGGTAACCTGGCTGATGTGTTAGGACGTCTGTCTCGCTGAAGTAACGTATATTCTTTCTAGAGGATTTAGAGGATCGACAGAAAACTCAATCTCCGAGGGTTTTTCTTTATCTTTAATATTCAAGAAATGAGTCTTCTGTCGATCTTATTTTCGTCTTTGTCACCTCCACTTTCAGACTAGTATTTTTGGGACAGGTGCGTAGTAAAGCCCAGCACCACTGATGAGACCTAGACGGGTCGAAATAGTATTGTCTGGTGTTGAATCAGAAATTTATCAAAAAGGTCAAAATTTCAAAAACTGAAAACTTTAGACTTTGCCTTTTTTCAATGTGTGTCTTTCATTTGATTTTTATTTTTCAGCAATGGATACGGTATATCCCGAACCCATGTCGAGATTAAACCGTAGGGTTGTTCCGAAGAAAAGAAGAGGTGGTTCCGCTAGATACAGAACGCAACCAGTAACATTTTCAGAGATACAGGTATGAAGAGTTGTCGTAGTGAGATTTCGGAAATGACAGTCGAAGATGTAATCATTATTAACTGTGGAGTTGAAGAATATTAATGAAGTATAGAACAATTCCTCCAAAAAAACAATCACTACAAAAACTTGGTACCCTTGGTATCTGGCCTATAATATAAATCAAATTTCAACATTGATTGAAAACAATTTTTACACACCAGAACAGATACGTCTCTGACAGCTTCCACCATTGCCCACAACAAAAAATGGTGGGACTAAATTTTCTTGTCTTGTATTGAAATTACTGGAACGGTACATGAAAAGTGTTACGATGCCATCAAAAGTTTGAAAGGTGACAAAGGTCCTATTCCCAACTTACCTTCCCTTTACTTACACTCTCAGGTACTTATAGGTAAAAAACAGGTAAATATTTGGCATCAATTAAATAGCAAATAACAGAAACAGACAGATGATGTTGTGCTCCAGGTTTTTCCGGGTTTTCCTGCAGCTAAAAAAGCAAATGAGCCACAGGAATCATTCAAGTCGCCCCGGAGCGTCCAATTATTTTTGTTGTTTCATTCCTTAATGTATTGTTTTATATATTGTCAAAATACTAGAAATTGATTCAATGACACACATTCTGAAAGATAATGATTCGTCTAGATATAAGTGTCAAATCATTACGTCCGCTAAAATTAGAAGTCCAATATCCTTTGAATATAAATTGAATAATATGGCTCTCAAAAGACAAATATTTATTCGTGATCTGGGAGTTAAATTACTTTCAATCTTCAAGTATCACAAATTGTGGCAGAAAGTCTCAAAATGCTACGTTGTGTGTTGAGAATTTTTACTGATTTTTCGATTAAAACAAAAAAGATTTTATATTGTGCTTTCGTGAGATCCATTCTTGCTATTGTTTGGTTATATGGGACCCATACTATAATTTAAATATCGATTTGTTTGAGAATGTTTAAAAGAAACTCTTATGGAATTGTGCTTTTCACTTTGGTATTCAACGAAATGAATATGAATACAGTCAACTTTTAACCAAGTTAAATATAATATCATTGTAGATAGGATCATTTTTATGAACTTGAGTTTCCTCTTCAAAATAATAAATAGTGAGATAAACTGACCAGAACTACTTCAACTAATAACTTTTAATATCAAACAAAACGATATGAGAAATCCTGACATTTTTCATATAAATTTTTTCCATACTCATTATGCTTTGAACAGTCCGATTCCTCGTATTCTGAAGCTGGGAAATTAATATCATAATAAGTTAATTCTGTTTAATGTCTCACTTCATGTCTTTAAAAATCAATTGAAAAGGCTATAGAGTTTCCGAAGCTTTTCTTCTTAAGTTTGAGCTAGCTCCACTCTTTGATTCTAATCATGAATCTTATAATTTCTGTGCGACCCTATAATTGGAACTTTTGTTCTGTTGAGTTAGTTTGCCGTGCAATAAATAAATAAATATATAAAATGAATTGATGGATGTAGCCGTTACTACGTGGTAGGAGATCATAATGAAAAGAGAAATGAAAATGTCTATGTCTTTTACCACTTTTATTTGTAACTGACGTTACTGCAGTTTCGTCCTATATGGACATTCTCAAACTTATACAATGAATGTATACAATAAAAAGTATAATAATGTATAATTAATGTATACAATGAAATGTATAAGTTTGAGAATGTCCATATAGGATTAAACTGCAGTAACGTTAGTTACAAATAAAAGTGGTAAAAAACATAGAAATTTTCATTCCTCTTTTCAAATATATAAAAGCATTGACATAGTTGTGAGAAATAGTCTTACTCGTCTCCTGATAATGCTAACTTGGCTAGCGGTATGCGCATCGAAAAACAGTATTTTTGTTATTGTGTGGGAATAGAACTATTTCATGTTAGAGGTTCCAGATACCACGTATCAAATTTCAACATGCTGCTTTCGGAACTTTTAACATCATTTATCCCTGAAAATACAATGAGATTCAATCGAGATATTTTTCTTTCTTGCAGAGAATAACTCCTACTATTAAACCTGGTAATTCTGCTTCACTTTTGCTATAAATCAGATCTTCAGGTTTATTGGGATTATTACTTTTTTATTCGTTCAACAACCCCCATAAACTTTGTTTTATTTACCTAGAGTACTTACTTCTATCCAGATTCACAAATGTCTGAGGGATATTAATAAAAGGCAGAAATGAATCATTGGATACTAAGAAGTTGTATCTTGATGGTTTACCTGTTTGAGTAAACTTGTTACTTGAGTAGCGTTATTCAAGGGATTACTATAGTAGTCTCTAACATTCTGATGACCTTCAGAGGTTCAGACATTTCGAGTTTATCTTTGAGTTCATATCCAGTTATCGGAAATGAACTCTAGATGTATGAAATTCTGAAGAAGCTATTCGCTAGCGCCTGCGAAACGTCAGGAAGAAATTCCAAAAATCGACGGCCTTCAAAGCCTAATAAAAACAGTGATTTTAATGATCTACCGCATTCCAAATGAACAATGCTTGTTTTTGAAAGACACTATTTTGTTTTTAGGAAGTGGATGAAGAAAACGTCACAGAAGAAGTTATTCCAGAGACGACAACCTCAAAATCCGAACTGAGCCTCATCATGAACAAAAAATTTGAGGAATTCAAGAGGACCAGAGATATTGACATCCTATCCGGTAGTAAAACTGACGAGCTACTGGATTGTAGTAAAAATGCTCCACTGTCTACATCGAGATCCATAGGACGGCTACCTTCAAGACCTTCTTTCTAACGCAGTGAATGTACCTACTACTTAGATATAAGGGTTAGAAAAAGTATTTTAGAAGTACCCAACGTTTTGAAAATGCCTGTTTTCCACTCCGCTTGTCTATCATCCATCATCCAAGTACTGAAGAACGTTGGTGTTTTGAAAAGGGTCTACATGTAATTTGGTGACAAAAAGAATCTTTATTCCTGATTTTTTTTTGTCTTGGTGCAAGTATCTTTCAGTTTTTTTGAAGTGTTGATACTTCATGAAATGCTTTGCATATTTAGATTTTCCACTTTCAATATATAGTTTTTCGCATGAAATTGAAATGAAACCGTTTTTTCGAATTTGTTCCTTCTCCAAAATCCCAAAATTTCAATTCGTACCCCGTATTTTCCTTTCCAAAAATATTCTTCAAGTATTGTGCATTACTGAATGAATATTATTGAAAAAAATTAAAACAATTATTGGACCGTATTGGTGTTACATTGCAATATAGAGATGAAAATAAAAAAGGCTTGGAGAAGAACAGAAAAAGATAGAGAGGAAATAAGAAATATAAAAAACATTAGAAGTTTCAATTGAATAGAACTTGTCGATACTTGATGAAAATCCATATTAAAACTCATTCATAGTTTCTTGGAAGTTTTCCACTATAAAGGGTTTTACAAAAACCACGACACGTGTTTCACAATACGATAGCTGTTCAATTTGAAAGGGTTATATTTTTAGGAGTGACAAATTTTTTGGGAAAGAAAGTTTTTGGCTTTCTACTACTTCCAAAGAAAGGAAGGAAGTAATCAATTTTTCAGTATCAAGATGGAGTAGTAAAAAGCCAAAAACTTTTTTCCCAAAAAACAATAGGTGTATTAATGAGTTATAAAAGTTTAAATCTTTCATCTCCAGGTTAACAAGCGACTTGAAGGATTTTTGAAGTATACGAATACTGAGCGTTTTTTTGTTCCAATTATCTCAAAAACTTCGCGGATATCAGCCATTTATAAAAGGAGAAAAATATTTTTTATGTTCAACCGCAAAATATTACATTTTTGAACGGTCTACATTTCTCAAAAAGACTTTTTTTCTCTTTGCCTTTTCTCATTGTTTCCTTTTTCCCATTCCATGGATTGCTTACTTTAACACTATTTTTGACTTTCACACAGGGTTCAGAATCAATTATTGTTGATTTGAAAAACTGGAGTAGTTGCATTGTTTAATTGAAAGCATGAAGACGAGAAGATGGTTTTGTATAAGAATTTTATTGTCAGAACTCAACGTCATGTTTTTAAAATAGTTCATTGATCAGGATTGGTTGACAGTCATTTGGATTAGATGATTATAAAGATTTTTATACTGAATAATATTGCTTCTTTTTTAAGTGTAAATTTATAAAAATGTAATTTTCTCAGATGTGCCCTAGGTAATATGAATGGACTGACCCGTTACTTAATGACAATTATTAACACTGTCTATGATAATAATTGAACATTTTTTATATAAATGTTTTTGATTCTATGACACGTTTCGCTAACACCGTAGCTTCATCGGTAGTAATGAATAGTACACACTGAACTACAATTTTATATTACATCACTTAATTCGTTCATACTATATGAGATAACAGGTATAATTTGTGAAACAAATTACAATCTCTGTTATTGGACAGCAGATACATTTCAAATATGCATAAAATTATTGGCATTGTAAAAATAGGATTAACAATGATGAGTGGGTTAACCTCTTGTTGGTCGTTCATTGTAAATTAAATAAAAAATAAAAAAAGTGTTTGTAAAAATTGTTCGATTGTTATCATGGGATACCCTAGGTAATAATTCATAATATCTCAGATTTACTCAGTGTGACATTACCAATTACCACGCAGTACCAAAGTAGCATTATTTTGTATTCAATTTAACAGTTGGAATATTTGTAATGATGACGTCACTTTGTTTATTCATCGGTAACCGATCCTTAGTTTATTGTTACCAATACATCGAGAAATAAAAATGTTTTTGAGCATTTGTTTATTAGTTGATTGATATGTGATATTAGTTGCTGCTTGCAGATAATAGAATTTTTGCTGTTTGAAGGAGATATAGAACGTTTATTATATGAAGGATTCTAGAAATTGGTGAAGAGGGCTATAGCTTGTTTCAGTATAGCCCTATTTCAGTAAGTTGTGATTATTCCGATTATATCTGCTTACATATATGTTTGGTCGTATCAATTGATTATAATATATATCATTAATATTTTCATTTGTTTTATTGACCGCTGTTTATTCCGTAGACATAAAAATTAAAAAAATTGTGGTTCAAAAGATGAAATATACACCAACGACTGCTTTCTACACCAAAGATGATATACGGCAATTTTCAATCAGCAATGTAGAGTAAACCGAATATGGAATGTGTGTAGGTATATGTAATTGTATTTTTCTAGTGTTATTCGATTAAGAGCTTTTGAAGGTAACATATAACTGAATTAACACAGAGTTTATGACGATCATTGGAAGTCAGCTTACTGAATCACAAACAACAATAATACACTTCAGTGCATTGTTTATATGCAATCATTCAGTTTGACTAATTATTGAGAGAAATACACGTGAAAGACATTATTTCTGAAGGACTCCACAACATGAAAAAGAAAGCTAAATCAATAGAGAATCTGCTGAAGTGTAATGAAGGGCAAAATGAAAAGTTTGCCTCAAACTGCGAATAGTTCAGATTTTGAAAACGGAAAAAGATTGTTTTCCGAGTTCAAAATGAACTCTGTGAAGAGTACTGAAATGAGTGGTTCATCTTGTATCATTATTCAGATAGGTGGCAATGAAACGAGTTTCTTATTTCTAACCTTCAAAATCCACTCTTGGGAGTGATTGGAATACATGTAAGTTAAATTTTATATCGCAACTCTTTCATATACTGTATTGTGCAGCATTTTATAAATGAAATTTGATTCAGTTCTATAACGAATGTTTGGAGTAGACAGTGAATGGGATTTTCGTAAATTACAGAAGCTCAGCTCGAAATCGGTATGAAATTTCTTAGACACGGTATTATAAAAGATGATTGAAGTGTTGATCAGGTAATCATTACTTAAAAATTGATTTTGAATGAAAACTGGAATTGTTTTGAAGAAATTTTCAAAAAATAAACATGACATTTTGAAGACTTGAGGAGGTGCAACACTAATTCAGGAAATCACAGAAAGTAATATCAAAATAAAGGAACTGAAAAATCCACAAATAATTGGTTTAAGTAATGCATATGATAATGATGTCTATATTTCAGTATTTGTACAATATTTCATCTGATCTTGAGAATATAGAAATCATTCCTCTGGCGGTACAAGATGAAAAAATGACACAAGAGGAAGTAGAACCACAAAGAACTATTGGTAAATTTCACTAATTCGGACTTCCATTGTCTAATATAATTTTAATCTGATTTGAAATATCTGACAGAACAAATAAAATTTAAATGAGTAGCTGAAAAAGTAATCACCCGAAGACGATTGGGGATACGACTAACAATCAAAAGGTCGTGAAGTACTAAGTTTGATTTTTTTATTTTATTTTTCATTTCATTTGTTTAATTTTATTTTTTTTCTTGTTTATTTTTATTTTATTGTAATTTCATTCCGCGTTTTATTGCTTTATATGATATATACTTTTAGCTATACATTTTAATTTTATTTGTTCTTTCAGAGATTTCAAATCAGATTAGAATCATATTAGACAATGGAAGTCCGAACTAGTAAAATTCACCATGAAACATTGTCGGCCACTTGGAAACAAATCATTGGAAAGTTATCAGAGATAATTTGCTGTGAACTATGCTATAATTTCTTGGAGCATTGCCAATTCAGAAAATATCTTCAAAATAAAATGATTTGCTCATTCACAAACATCAAAATGTGTTGATGTTCTCAAAAAGAACTAGAACCTAAAGCGAGTATACGGAATTTCTTATCAATGCCTTTTTTCCCTACTTGAACAAAACTTTCAACATAATATTTTGTTTCTGGAATAGTATGTGAGTACGCGGGTATGTGTGGGTATTCGTGCGCGTGTTGTGTGCTCTTGTACCTGTGCGTGTGCGTTTGTACCTGTGCGTGTGCGTTTGTGTGCGAGAGCTTCTGCGTGTGCGCGGGTGTGTGTAGATGTGCGTGTACGGGTGAATGTGCTTATGCGTGTTCGTGTGCGTGAGTATGCGGGTGCACATATTCGAAAAAAAAAAAATTCACAAAATATTTCATATCTAGAAATGAAGAAAAATAAGAATATATATTACCAATTGATCGAAGATTGAAGATGAAATTTGTGAGATCATAGAAAAAAAGTTTCTGAGAGAATACCAACTGAAGATGGTAATTAAAAGCGCACGTGTGCATGTGTGCGTATTTGTGTGCGCGGATGTGTGTGTGGGTCTGCGTGGGTGTGTGAGAGATAAAGTCACTCACTTATTTTAGTCGTATCTGAAGAGACACAATATCAATGGCAAGAAGATATCAAATCATGTTTTATATAACTATCATACTCTAGCCAAATGATTTCGACTATAATATTATTTATGTGTTCACTGGTTGTTCAACATCAAGAACATGTTGATTGCTTGCTCCTGTTCCTCATTGATCGTATGCATCTCATCTTTTCCTTCACAAGCAAAGTTATACAATATTGGAGTTGATACCACAACTGTTCCTATTATATCTGGTTCAAACCTCAAACCTATTGCCAGAGAAGTGAATTGAAGAGATTTTCACCAGCATCATATTCTTCGTAACAGTTTGGCATGAATCTAATAATTGTAGGCCTTCTTGGCTCTTCATCACTAAAGTAGGCATTAACATCATAATCTCTATTTTTTCACATATATTTTGTCACTATTTCACATGACATAATCTGATAATCAACTTCAACTAACAAATAACTCATACGTCCTCTTTCACTTACGGTAACTATTGAGAGTCAACCAACACATGAAAAACATGTATTTTAAAATAAATTTCAGTTAAGAACAAATAAAACGACAAATGGAACAGTTTTTTCAGATATTGGAGTTTTCAATATATCATCCTTCAAGCTCTATACATTTTTCATAACGTCGTCTCAAATTCTGGCGGGTCTTCCTCAATTGGCCTGGTGTTATTTTACTACACTTTTGCCTTATTCTCTCCTTCATTTAGTGTATTGTATTAGTTTTGGAACTGTTGAGAATGAGACCACTTGGAGAACAATATTTTTGCATATTAGCAACTGCTTGATTAACATGATACGACAGTCCCTCATAATCCGAGGACTTCAGAGTGAACGAAGAGTCGTCGGTAAATTATACTGAATAACGTTGACGATTACTATTGTTGAGCTTGTGTACGAACAAAAGAAAGAGCATAGGTCCTAGGACGCTACCCTGGGGAACACCGGTGGGAACGACACTGGTTCTAGAGTGGAAGGTCTCAGTCGATGTTTTTTCACCATACTCTAATCAAAATGTATATTTTTTTTGTCGAAGCCACAAAATTATATCCGCTTTACTTCCTGCATTAGTTGGCTGGATTGGCACAATTATCGTCGTTCTTGTCTTCCCGATAATCACCATAATGCTTTGACCCAAATATCAACAAACTGCCCTCAACAAAATCACCAACACCTCCAATGTGGGAATAGCCTTCTATAAATGTTTGACGTGACCTTATAATGATATTTTAACTTATTGATGATAATGAATAACTATTATCTGACTTTGAAGTGATTTGCATGATATTGCTGTCTGTCAATATCAAAAAGACTTTGGATTTCACCGTAAGAGGGAATTTGAAGAAAAACACCAACGCTGAATTAATTTTATTTGATTCTTTGTATTGAACTAGGAGGTAGATTTGTATACAATAAATAGATTATAGCAACACTATAAATAACGGCTTGGAATTTCTCGAAAAATTTCAATAATCCTAAATATTTAACATGGAACGTATTCTCGTGTAAATAACTTTTTTTTCATATATTAACCTTTGAGTTCGAGAGTTATCACCTTAGTATTATTATTTTCCACTTAACTCTAACATATCACACAATCTTTCATCATTTATGTACAAATAAATAAATATACCTATATACGGATTTATCTGAAATTAAGTGATCTGTTATCAGGAAACAAATATGCCAATACAACCTTTTCCATAGCGTTTGAATGGACCAATCAAATGACACCAAATGAAATTTTTGTATTATTTGAAAACTGTAGATGCCAGACCAAAAAATTTCATATTTTTTCTGGGGTACTGTATAGATGAAGTTGATAATTTAATACAGAATTCTATGGGTATACTTTCTGTTGAATTAATAAAAAATCAAATAAATAAATCCGTACAGTTTTCACAATATTTTTTCGTAAATGACCTATAAAAATTAATCATTATGGAAAATATTCATTTTTGCAGCTCGCACTAGTTTCGGAAAATATTGGATGTACATATTGTGTCCGATGATCGAAAGTTTGAACTCAAAACTTGGCGCTCCAGTCTACTTTCACAGTCACTTATTAATCGAAAAATCGACTACTAGAACTCGGTTTCTCTAATGGAAATATTTTTACAAAATGTTCAGTTCCACCAAAATATTGACAGGTTTTCAACTCAATTGTTTATAAAACTAGATGACACTTTTACACGGGACTTTGCCTTTGGTTCACTTGGCAACTTCATAAAATTAAACTAGAAATGAATACGATGTTGTGAAATTTTTGTGGCTCTTGAAAATACATGAAATGCATTTTTTTTTCTACGGAAATACGTACACAAGAACGTTATTCGGGAGCAGAGGTGAGTGAATTTGGCAACATAATATTCATATGTGATGTAATTAGCCGTTACTTGATGAAAATACATAACGTATTGAAGTAATACTCCATCGTGAGATTGTCAGTGGAGAGTTAACAAAACAGCAACATATGTTTCGCTTTCCAACACGTGTTTTGCTTCCTCAGGCGACTTCACACTCGCTGAATTTTACCTAATTGGTGCGTTATATAATATAACAATTTGAAACTAATGACATTTTACCAACTTGATAACTAGTGATTTTATCAGAGTTCAGGTGTAAACTAATTAAAAATTCAAACATTAACAAGAAAAATTTCACCAACTCATTAAATGGACATGTAATAAACAAATTACCAATTTCCACATTAGACAACAGATTCAACAGAGAGAAAATATTCAATTCTATTTGTCCATTCCAAACATTTTCTAAATCTAAAATTCACTCATTTCCCAGCATACAAAATATTCAGTTTGAAACCTTTTTCTTCCAAATGTAATACGCCATATCGTCGAAACTTCGAAAACAAGTCATTTACCAGGTCTATCCCACTTCGAAAAACGATAATGTGCATCATATGAAATTGACATACTCTGATGAACTCATCAATTACATCGCTCGGTTTTGAAAAAGACTTGGATTTGGCTTACCAAAAAAAAATAAATTGAGCAAATGTATCAAAAGCAATAAGGACAAAACTTCAGTGTCGAATACATCAGGAGCATATAAGGTAAAATGTGACACAAAATTGATATTGGCCAAACGGAAATAATCTTTTCACAAAGGATAACAGATCATTCGAGAAGTTTCTTGAATGTAAAAACTTATTTCACATTTTCAACCACGACTGTAATGTATTACATTTGGAGGAAAAAGGTTCGAAACTCAATATTCTGTAATGCTTGGAAATCATAAGATCAGAGAATTTGTAAAATTCACTGTAAACTGATGTGTAAACTGGTAATTAATTCAATATTTTCCATTCAATGGGTTGGTGAAATTTCTTCCATTATATATGAGTTCTCAATGAGTTTATACCTGAAATCCGGTAATATTATTTGTCATTGTGTTGGTACTTTCTTTTATGATGTTCATATTTTCAATTAGTTCATACCTGAACCCTGATAAAATTGCTAGTAATTAAATAGGAAGAAGGTCATATGGTTCAAACTATTATATTATATAAAGCACCAGTTAGGTTCAGTGAAAATTTCACAATAAAGTGTTACTTGAATACAGAATTGTAATTTCTTCACTTTGAGTTCTGTTGTTATTGCCAACAAATAATGACGAAAACTGTATAGTTTGTGTTCCTCACAGTATTACTGACGAATGGAAAAACAATCGGGTGATAGTGTTTACCTCATATCATTATGAAGTTGAATGATTGTTGAAAGAAGGTGATGAACAAAAACGGCGAACGTATCGACGTCAATTGTGCCACATTTGCTCTGACTTTTGTTGAATATTTCTATTATTTTCAAAGAGAACCTTCTTTACGACCTAATACTAGAATTGAGCTCATGAAGAAGTGGGTTTTTCGACTTTCGAGGGGTCGTATCTTCAAAATGAAATCGGAGCATCTAATGTTAACTTCAGAATCGTGATGAGCAGATGAAAATACGTATGTGTTATTGAAAATATTTCCTTCTAGAAACTGATGCAAACTGAAAAAACAAATATTCACCTTCGTGATGCACTGTGTGGAACCTTTGGTGTAGTAATGAATATTACTGGAGTTTTATCCCAACACAAAACCGTTACACCTCGACACGTGTTTCGATCACTAAGTGATCATCTTCAAGATGAAGATTAAACTGTTTAATCTTCCTTTGGTGTTGGGATAAAACTCCAGTAATATATAAATATTCACCCTTTGATTTCATATTTCATTTTCAACAATAGGTATCCCCCTGAAATTCCAGTATTTTTGGTGAGCAGACATCCCAGGATCAAGTGGGAAATATTATGGGCGACAATTATTGCTCAACAGAAAGTTAATGGAAATTGAAAAAGAAATTAACGAGTACAAGTGCTTGAATTCACCCTCGGTTTTTCCTCATCTACATCTGAATCAAGTTTTTAAGCTACCGACTTCTTCAAATATCATCAGGTGTGATTATTATCAGGTCTGTTTCAATGAAATCATCAGCCTGAAACCAACACGCAATTTTCTATATCAGTCTTCATTTTGTTTTGTTTATCTTAGGTTCACGTCGCCCGATTCGTTAATTTTAAAATTTAACGGATTTCTTTTAAGCATATAGATGTGAATGTGTATACGACATGACACATCAATTTTAACTTTAATTGAAAACCTTCTTTTGTCCCCAGTTCAGAAAATGTTTGGTAGATATTGAAATAATTTTTGAAATCGATGTGAAAATACCAAAATGCATATGTCAAATGAAACTTCTGAGTTGAAGTTATTGAAAATTGTTTCATAGGAAAGTTTTGGAAATCAATGCATTTCGTCTTTAAGAATCATTAACCTTTTCAAAATAGAAATTCATTCAAAACACAAAAACATTTTTTCTTGAAGAAGGAATCCAATGGACGAAAAGTCATTTAAAAAATTAGTTAATACCACATCATCATAACCAGTATGAATGGTTCCTTTGATTTACTTGATTCGTTAAAGGAAAATAGGGCAAAAAATATGAGTAAAATTTTAACAAATTCAAATGTTTTTACATTCAGTTGTATTAGAATTTTTCTTCATTCCTTCCTTGTCATTCAATAACTATGAATTACGGGTGAATTCTCTTGGATTTGATATATTTCAAGAATTCTTAAGAATTCTAAATATTGATACATGACAGATTTCAAATAATATTGTCAATGGAACTATTCTTCATCTTTGGCCAGCTGGGGCAACGGACTGAACCCGCTTGATTTATTTAGGAAACACTTGGCACTTTGTAACATATTTGTTTCAATCAGAAAAAATAGGATACATAAGTTTGCAAATTCTCAATCCTCCAGTGTTTCCGTTGAATTACTATTTCAAAATGAACTCTTCAGGAATATATGTATATCATGTATAGAAGTTATTTTCAGATGCAAATCGAAAGAAATAGTTCTCTTGAAACAACTACTTTTGTATGAATATTGAATTATCCAAAAACACTTTTTCCTATTCAGTTTTCATTCCAAACAATAGTTTGGATTCAGGAATCATTGACAGGAACGCTTCACAATATAGTATATTTAAAAAAGAAGAAATTTCACTTACATGGAACGCTATCATCCTCAATGGTGAACATCGATGTTTCGGAATAAGACACTTGTCTTATTGCTTTTTCAGCACTAATCTGGATAACATTACAAGATAAAGCACTCAATTCAATCATAACACTATAACTTTATGTTACGAATGATTTGAATCTACTCATGCACGATGTCAGTACACAATGACATTCATTCGCATATGTAAATAATGTCTGATTTCATTCCATAACAAATGTTTGGAACACAAACTGAATAGAAAAAAGTGTTTTTGTATAATTCATTATTCATTGAAGATTAGTTGTTTTTGAAGTTTTTCATTTCGTGTAATGCGATGTTTACATGGAAGGAGTTGTTTCGAGAAAGCATTTTCTTCCACTTTGTTTTTGAAAGTTACTTTCAAGCATGATCTAATCAAACATCTTTCTGAAGACTTTATTTTTAAATTAATTGCTTTTTTCCGCCCTTAGGAAGTTTCCCACATTTTTGCATGGAGGTGGAGTAGTAGAAAACCCAAACCGGTCTCTCCCAAAGAACATTTTCAGGTCCTTTTTTTGATATTATATTCATTGTAACTCCTGAATCAGTTAGAATATATGTACTCATAATTTCACCTTTTCAGTTCTCGTCGAAAAAAAATATATGACATTTCACCAAAGAAATAAATGAACACAACTTTGATACGCCTTTCTATCATTCAGTAGTGATGAATAATTCTAGAAGGACGAATGTATTGGAATCTAAAACGATTTTTTTTCGAAAACTTCTCTTCACCTCATAGTTCTGATGGAAGTCAGATGCAAACAAACTTCCAGAAATTCCATTCCTCAAATCAATGACTAGTAACTCATTCAATCTTCCAACTGTTTGATTAATGAATGGAAGATGGCGCCACAATAATGAGACTAGAAACATTTGGAATGATGTGGAAGAGGAAAAAACATCAAGAGAACGCTCTTATAATTAGTATTTTTCAGCATTATCAAAGTTGAAACATTTCAGATCTCTAGATACCTTTTTAGAATTTTCATTCTGAGAGTAACTTAAGTCATTCAATACCAAAGAATTCATATATACGGCTAAATATTCCATTTCTAACATAAAAATAATTCTATGCAATCAGAGAAAAGTTTCAGATCCTGGGATGTTTCTCCAAAAACGTTTGGTGAAGTTATCTTTCCGCAAAAACTATTATCTAGAAGCTACAGCTTCCACCCCATTCACGGCCTGACTAGGATTACCTAAAGTATTTTTGTCATTTTCATTACTTTTCCCACCACTGCCCCTAGTATTGTCCCTAGTACTCTCCCTAGTCCCATCCTCAGTACTGTCTTTTACATTTTCCTCCACACTATCCCTAATACTGTCCTCGATACTGTCTCTAACACTATCGCTAACACTTTCGATCGGATGCAGCGTTACTATGGATTGCCTTCTGATTGGAGTCACTGGAGTGGAGTGCAAGATGGCGTACAAAGGGCCTTCTCGTTCCTTCGCAGGACTGACTAAGATGGAAGGGCTAGCGCAAGGGCTAATTATGACGGATGGTTGGTCATCTTCGAGCTGCATGCTGTTCTCGGCAGCTGAAGGAATGGTTGTGAGGAATCTAACTGTCAGTCTTCCCGGAGAACCTAAAACAAGTTTTGAGAAACATTACGTAACAAGGTATTTTGAAGGCGCCAACACATCAATATAGTTTTAAAAAATTATATGGAGAGATTGAGACGTATAGTTATTCTTTGTCATGTCAATGTTTTGCAACATTGGTATATTGGACAGATGAAATGTATAGCTGTTTGAAAGCTCCTGAAGAGGCACGAGCCTATATCAGGGCCCCACAGAAAAAACTCATGTAACACTAATCTACAAAACATCATTAGAAAATTAACATATTTGATTTAACTGTTTGAAAGGAAAATGAGCATCAATGCCACACAATTGGTCATCAAATTTTCATCTGTTCGGAAATAAAGCACATTCATCTCACCTGGAGGTTCTATTTCGTCTTGAATGGCACACTGTCGCGTCAGACGTGGTTTCGACCTGACTCTTGCAGGTTCGCTAGAAGCACTCGACCTTGACATACGCCAGGTGCTCGTACTGGCTGTCGTTGCAGATCCAGAGGAATCATTTCTGGAGCTAGACAGGTTCGAATCCTGCGAAGTCTTCCTCGTAACCAACCAGGATGAGGCCCTCCGCTTAGGATCCAACAGTCGCAGAGGAATTCCACAATGATGGTTGTGGCGCCAGGAATCCGACCTAGAAATGAAGCAGAAAAAGTGACCACTCAAAGGAAAAGCTGATCTTTTAGTATATAAGTTAAAATCAATGATTTGGTGCTCACATTTAGTGTTTTTGAACTTGTTTAGATATAAGAAACAAAAAACAATTGACCGATGAATTTTTGACTTTCTGCGTCTGATTAATGAAAAGCGTCGTACGATGTTTTTTTTGATAGACATCTATTAGCTCATATGCCCGTATTTTTGTAAAGTGAAAAATGAATGAGATATAAAAAGTAAAGAGAGGAGGTAGGTACCTACGAGTTGAAAACATCACTAACTTCTTCTCAGTATGTGCTCAAATACATCACCCTTTCCTTCAATACATTTTTTGCTGTTTTAGCTTGGTTCTGTCGTCGATAATTCGCAAACTTTCCAATACTTTCCAGAAAAAAATCGAGAAAAATTGATCTCCAAAGGACCTGGGATAGAGATCTTTGAATAGAGCCAAGGGTTCCCTTTCATTTATCATTGAACAATGGCACCAAAAGTTGATAACACCCTTTTTTAATTATGTTATGAGTTCGAATTGTGCTTACTTTTGAGCTCATGTTTATCAAGGAAATTGCATAGAACTGTTTTTCTAAGAAACCGTTCGTGCACTTCACACGTAACACATACCTTGCATTATTCAAGAAGTTACCATAAATGAAAAAAAAAAAACAATATTTCTTGATCCATAATTAATACAGATACGAACCCAAGGATCTCTTAGTGCCCAGGTTCCTGGAACTACAATTTCCGTGGCTTCGCTAATTATGGAATTCATTTTTAGTGGTATCTTACCAAGAACACTTTCAATACATCAAAATTTACGATACATTGATGTCGTTGTTCTGACAGAACTCCATTAGGATACAATACTTCATAGAATCGCTCTTCTGCTCAGAAGCCTTCCATTATTTTTTCTACGTAAAAAATTAGTGACAACTAACAACTAAAACAAACTAATATATCATCACATTCATGAAAATCAGAGCTATCCTGACGATTTTGATAGTGATACAATTTTATTTTCATGAATATCAAATCATTGGATTATCTGGTGTATTCGATATATGTGTCACTATTGATTTCTGCGCTTGAAATTCTTTCCGTTTATTTCCCACCAAGTAAATCAAAGTACAATTATGAACTCCATACCTAGACGAACTGAAATTCTCACTAGAAGACACTGAAGACGCCCTCTTGTGCTGTTTCTGTTGAATCTCTGCTATCTGATACGTATACTGGTCATTTCTTGGTCGATGTCTCGCAGGTCTCCTGACACAGAGCAGCCACCTGGCTTTGCTGAGCAACCATTCCCTAGTGGTGGTCTTTCTGTCTGTCTTGGTCTTCGACTGCGGCTGACTGTCACCCAGCAGCTTGGCGTTGCACGTGCACTGCGGAACGTGGTGCTCTTGCTTCTCCCTGGAAGATCTATCAGCGAGAGAGTTGGTGTTGGCCGGGGTCTGCCTGTTGCTGAAATTAGAACTGTGTCTGCACCTACCGATGCCCCTAGTAACTCTGCTCTCCTCTATAGCCTTACAGATCATAACGCAGTCTTTTTTAAATTGTTTGGTGAGGATGGCGTAGAGAAAAGGGTTGCAACAAGAGTTTAATGGAAGAACGAACACGGTGAATACTTTGGCTTGCTCTAGCGAGATGAGCTGCAGTCCAAAAGCTGCTGTAAGGGAGAAAAACGCTATGGGGGACCAGCATAAGAAGTCTGTAAACACCAATAGAGCCATGCGCTTGGCTATGCGCGAGTCGTTAGAGTTCCATGCCTGGGAGCCTCTGATCGCGCAGTACATTTTCAGGTAGCAACCCATGAGGATGAGGAAGGCTACTCCGTTGATGAACATCAGGAAGACGACGTAGGTGAGGCTAGGAGCGTCGTTGGTTTCAAACGGGAGACACACCGCGAACTTCCTATAATCGGAGATGTTGAAGATGGGCATAACGGCCATCATGATGGCAAAGCTCCACCCACAGATCATGATGTAGCCTGCGTGTTTGAGTGAGAGTCGCTTATTGAGGTGCATGGCGTGGGTGATGGCGTAGTTCCTTTCTAGGGTTATCACGGCTAAGGTCCATACTGACAGTTCGGAGCTGAGAACACCTAGGAAGCCTGATAGTTGACAGCCTGCTGACATTTGCCAAGGTATGGCATACATGCGAAATTCTCCTAAGGTGGATGCATCTACTACAGCTAAAAACCCTGGAAAATATAACCGATGTTGGTGTAGTTATTTCAGGAAAAAAATAATGGAAACGAAGTTCGAGGATATATCGAATAAGAAAAACAAATCACAATAATATTATTGAAGAGCATTTTAAAACTTTATATCTATGATATTTCAGCTGATTTTATTGAACATGACATGTTTATAGAGGGACAACAACAAGAAAAGACACCGAAATATCATACAGTTGAAACCACTACAATAAATTGATTGTTTTCAGTATTTTGAATCAATTTCACATCACATTTTTTGAGTACCGTTTAGTAGTTGAATTCATCACTGTTTATTTTTAGAATCGAAATTAAATATTTCAGTTATTTTTTTGCCTGACCAATAAAGAAGCAAAGTTTGATTGAAAGATGAAATATTGATATTGATATGTTTCGTATAATTTTTGATTTGTATTGAATAACAATGAGTAATATTTCATAAATTTATTTTGCATTATTGTCAATAGCCATGCCATGCTGAATTGCTATATTCCATATGTATTTTGATGTCCTAAACATTTTTTTCCAGATGGAAAGCTTCACCTTTGGGGTATATCTTCAAACTACCACGTAATTATAAATTTGAGATGGAATTAGCATCTTGGTGTACCAAGAACACTACCTGGAGGTATCCCACAAGACATGTCCCGCCTTGCAGATATTATGTCTTTCAGATAAACAAATTGTTTTCTATACTCTGTATATATGCAGGTTGAAACATAAACCCATCACAAAAACTGGGCTGTATTTTTTTAGTAATTTTTCCCGCGCATGTTTGACGTGATTATCTGAATTGAAATAACTTTCTCATTCACAAACAAATTGGAATGAATCATACACTAAATGTTGAGAGAAGTTTAGCACAACTCCTTAGAGAAAATCGCAATAAAATCGGTTGAGCCGTTTTAGAGATTATTGCGCATAAATGCAAAGACAAACAGATGAACCATTATATCCTATTGTGTTAATAAATACCTCCAATAATAGTTTTTCTCCAATATCAGATAGTGTACAGACACCGATCAACAACACTTTTATTATATGTATTGGTTACATTATTTTCTATCTCCTATGAGTATTATTTTTTAGGAGAAAATTTAATGAAATATTAGACTGTTCATTTTATCTATGAAAAAATTATTTTTCTTACCCAAATAAATACCCATGAAAAAATCCGCAGCGGCCAAATTGCACACTAGGAACCTTGGTACGTCCATTTTACTACGGGAAAAGATCAGAACAAACACGACTGTCCCATTTCCCAGCATGGCGCACAAAAACACTATCCATACCCCGCATCGCAATGTCCACCAATCGAACAAGTCCTGACAGGGTAGAAACGGTCCTGGCAAAGGCAGACATTGTATTTTCTCGGGAGCACCATCTCCAGGCATTCGAAATGTTGTATCCTCTTCAGCGGCGTATTCTTCTATATATGATGAAAAGTTGCCTGGATAGGTGAAATCAGAACGGATGTTTTCCCAGATTTCCCCAAATTTCTTGCCAAATTTCTGACTTATATTTTCTAGAACACATGATGAAAATCAAAAAGTTGGAACATAGTTCAAATAAATTGAAGAAAGACATTTGATGTATACAACAGCTAGTTTTATGGACACAAAACAACAAGAACAACAACAAATAAACACAATATCGAAAATGTAAAACGATGACAAAAATATCTATTTCTATTTTAACGGAAATCACTTTCAGCTGTGGATGTTGTGATGGGATATGAAAGTTTTATTAATGTATGCTGACGACTTGAAAGTATTCCATACTGTGACATATTCGACATCAATAATCTCGTAAAAAACTCTTTATTCCTTAATCTTAAAAAAGGCCACTTTATTACATTTACAAGAAAAAAAATATTTACCACCACCAATATCACATAAACAGACAGCAACTAAAGGAAATATCTGAAGTCAAGGACTTAGGAGTATTATATGACTCTATTTGACTCGCATTATAACTATATTGCAAAAAAAGCCAACAAAGCTCTTGGATTTCTGATCAAGACTTGTCGCGACTTCCGTAATACTAACCCTCTGTATATCTCGTATATTGAAAGACTTGAATCTATACAGAGTAAATTCGTCACTTATATCAATACAAAATTTTTTCATAATCTCAAAGATCCGTTACAAATTAAAATACTAGTCAATCTGATATCTTTGGCGGATAGACGCCAAATAGCTGAAATTCAGTTCATATATAAAATAATATATATTTTTTTTGACAGCAGTTCTATATTAAATCAATGTTTGATTAATTTACCTCTGTATAATACCATACTATTTGAATTCTCCCCTAAATAGGTGTTGTAAATCCTACAACTCTGTATCCAAATCAATAGAAATTGACATCTTTTCTAATTACCTCGAAACCTTTATCACGTCTCTCAAACGTTCATACAATCACCATTTTCATATCTATCTATTGTAATTTGCACTGCACTTGATTAATAACTGTTCATAACACGATATTGCATATTATTTGTAACAATCAAATCATTTAATCTTATTTTCACCTCATCATTTGTGAATACTCTTTTTGGGTTTGTCCCGTTTTGTATTTCACTGAAAATAAATAAATAAAAATATAAGTTATATAAAACCATAGGAAATTTTAATTCTCATTTTTCGTGATCATCCATCAATTTATTGAAAGAAGAATTCCTCTGGAATCAGAAAAATCCTCCCTTTTTGCATCCTATGGGAGTTTCAGAAAAAAAAAACGGACTTATCACGTTATCCATATGAAACGACAATTCAGATGGAAATCAGGGTTGAAAAAATTTGATTTAGGGTGATGAGATGAGTGCAAGCATGTGTTTGAAATTCGCAAGTGTTTGAGAAACTTTCTTTCAGTCCACTACAAATGACAACATTTTTAGGAAATTAGGAAAAGAGAGAAGTTTCAATATGGTACAATTTTTCGCAGAATCACAGTTTGAAGTCATATTTTTTTAATCAGATAACACTTGCCACTAACTGTTAGTTAATCTGTCATTGACTTTACAAAAATGATAATTTCATTTCTCTACAGAAATGAAAAAAGTAAATTGAAACTTAATTTGTTTACAATTAATTTGATGACAGTATACTAAATTGCATCAATCGATGAGAGATTTTTATTGCCATTTTTGACAAATAACGCCATATTTAGAAAAAAATCTATATATTCACTTCATATTCAGTTTTTGAGCAATATGTCATGCAGATTAGTTTTTATCTGAATTTTCATCATTTGGAAACTAATTTGAAAGAACATCTGAATCATTTGAATGACAATATAAAAAATTTAAGCAAAAGTGTAGCGAAGTTGCGATAGCTAGAATAACAAAAGGGAAACTTTTTATTCAGTAAGGGCAATTAAAAACTCAAAATCTCTTCAAAACTGTTATGAATTTCAAGAGACAATATCACTGAAAATGAAAGTTGGTGCATGAATAATCATCACTGAATATATAGTTGAGAAATGCCTACATTTTAGTGTGTCGTCTTTCAATCTCAATACAAACTATGGTTCTTCTGCATACGTTTTCAACGGAATTCATTACGAATGGGGGTTTTATATTTGCACAGCACACTTCGATAATATGTTCCAAATGCTGAACGTCGCTGAACGATGCTGAAAAGTTCATTTTTATGAACTTTCTGATTAGAATAACTCCACTAGAAAAATCCAATTGTGTAAAGTCAGGTGATAGGGGTGGCCAGTGATAAATCCAATCGTGTTCTGTTATTCTACCTCAGAATATTTGGTTTATGCACTGCTTTACTGCAGCTTCAGCTGTCGAAGTTTATTTGAAGGAATGCAGCCCAAATATTCTATTGTCAAATAGTTCCGCACCAAACGTTAGTTTTTGATAAGTAGCGATCTCGACATTCGATTACAAAACCAGGATTTTCTTGGGACCATCGTCGACAACTTTGGGAACTCACAGTATCGTTTGAAGAATGGGTTGTTTCATCTATCCACAATGTTACAAGGAAACCAAACAATATTTTCTCCTTATCTTCGAGAGCAAAAAGAAAACCCTTCATTTTTCAATAAAATGTTTCCTTTCATAATAGCAATTTTTGTGATATTAGCGATTCTGGTTTGTTCATATTCAACAATCAAACAAACATTCAAAACGGTATTTTAGGAAACTACTTTGTTTACATTTTTCCTTCATTCTTGACAGAACTGAATTGAATGCTACACCTGAAGTGACAACATTATTCAGGTACGTAAATTGGACTCATAAAAAATTCAAGCTTGACAGGAACCAATATTTCGTTTGTTAAGGCCTACCATTTTAATCCATTTGAATAATAACGCCTAGACTGACTTTTTCGCACTGGGTGGTTGAATCTGATTGAAACAAATATTTGCCTTCTTGAAGAGCGAGCAGTATTGTTGAGCTGAGAGCAATATTTTTCTTAAGTTTGTATTAAAATAGTCTTTTCGAAAGTATATGACTTGGTACTCAAAATATACGATTGCTATTTCATTTGATTTGTTTTGAATTTTTCAGTTGTATTCACTGCTTTTGCAATTTTTTTGAAACCTCAAGGCAATTCAGATTCTGCCACTCTTGTCCTTAAATGTTTCTACCGTAATGCCAAATTAGGCTCCAAATAACGAAAATTGACATAAAAACTAAGGCTAAGACCACACGAGCGGATTATCAAACGTCCGATTAAAATATCGACTAATTAAAAATCGCCTTGAATGTATGTCTAGGGGAACACTTGAGCAACGTTTTAGTTGGGGAATGGATCTTCTCGAGTTATGTGGAGTTGAAACTTGTAGATGTGGTCTCAGAATATCTTAAAAATACAATGGACTTTGCCGAGTTAACCTTTTTCCCTCATTTCAGTGGCTTGTAGGGTGCATTATTTTGACGCAAACCAACAAATGATTTAAACCACAACAAATCACAAAATACAGATTGGCCGATGAAATAGTTGCCTTGAAATAAACGCCCGTGTGCGATAGGCCTAATTATGTTCATGGAGAAGTAATTATGAAATGAATATACCGTTTTATTTTTCAGGTTGATTCCGTTATTTATCAAAATGACAAAAAATGTGTTAGAATATTGAAATTTGGTACAATTACAATAGAAATAACTCTTTCGAACAAATTTTCACAAAATTCTGTGGAGGAATGATATTATTCAATCAATTAGAAGAAATGTCAATTTTGACATGTAACGACTGTTAGTTTGTGGCAAGTGTTAATGTTATTTTTGTTCTAATTCAAAGCATAAACTGATGCCAAAATCCGATTTCATGTAAGTTTATTGTCTATTAGTGAAAAAAATTCCTCATGTTGCCGATTTCTAAGGCGACCTCGACGGTGACACTGTAAAGTGGGTTTTTTAAATTATAGATGTATATCAAAGTATTATTTTTGCTACAGAAAACGTTTGGAAGAATATACTACTTACGCTGCGCAGGCCAGACATCTACAGGGCTATTCCAGAAGTTCATATCAATATCCTCGATATCTGGAAATAAAATGATGTCTTTGGCTTTAGCGGGAGGTGGGTTAGACGGCACCAGGGGCAGGAAGGCACAACAATGGTAAGCATAAGCTAAAACTAGTGTCCGGATTCTAGGAAAATCCGTTGGCGGTGGAAACTCTCTGAGATTGGGGTTGTTGAATGTTTTCAGGTGAAGAAGACGTTCCAAACCTGCTGAAGGGAGGTGTGGAAATACGTTGTTACCTAGGTTGCTGAAAAAGCCGAAACAAACAATAAAAATATTTATTTGAGGATGATTGTTTTTGGAAAGTTACATTTTGGGTGGTGGTAAATTGAGAAAATTTACTATGTCATTGATATTCATGGTTTGGTACTCCTATAGTGGTATTCACTCGTTCAATAAAGGAATATCACCATAAAATATTCAAAAATGATATAATTTGATTCTGTTAGAAAACGGTTATCTATCATGACTCGACCATATTCTTTTTTATTTGAAATATAATTCATTTGAATACATCCAAATAACCTAACAATTTTATAAACATGTACTAACAATTATCTTGAAAATAAATTCACAAAAAAAATAATTGTAACTGTAATTTGAACAAGTCTAACGATTTAATTTTTAGTAATAATGTCTATGCATTCAAAATACTATTATAAAATAATGAACGATGATTACGGTGTAATATATCAATTTTGAGTTCAATTATGAAAAAGATGTGGTTTTCAATCAGTTTGACACCTATACAACTAAAAATATCAATTATTTCTACAAGATAATTATGCTGAAAAATCTCTTTTATTTTGGCCATGGAAAATATTTTTTTTACAGAATGTACCGTACTGGCTTCTTCTACTTTCCTCATATTTTGAAACCTATTTCATCAACCTTCAATCAAAGCGATATTGATTTGAATAAGGAGTCACTGTCTTGAACTGACAAAAGTTGTGCACAAAATATTAAAGATGTCACTTTTGTCCAATTATAGTGAACGTGTTAGGAGAAATATTGCGCGAAAAAGAGGTATTCATTATTTTGTGGAGCAACACTTCATTGTGAAATTTCCACTACATAGTTACAAAAACGCAATACGTGTTTCGCTACACAATAGCATCGTCAGGCGTTTTCATCAAGTATTGGCCGATTCCATCAAATATTTTGTGGACTGTTCAAAAATTTTCTGATAGGTCGATTGCTTGCTCACTGGCAAAAATTTCAAACAAAATAATGAAAATACCGTGTTTATACAAATATATTGGAAGTGTAAGGACGAATATTGTGTGAAAAAGAGGTATTTAATATTCTGACGGTCGTTCAAAAATTGTATGATGGGTCCCCTGCCTCCTCACTGGCAAAAATGTCACACAAAGTAAAGAAGATAACGTGTTTATACAAATATATTGAAAGTGTTAGAAAAAATATTATGCAAAAATGGAGTAGGTATTCAATATTTACTAGGGCATTCAAAAATTTTCTGATGGCTCCATTGCCTCCTCACTGACAAAAAGTTCACACAAAATAATGAAAATACTGTGTTTATACAAATATAGTGAAAGTTTCAGGAGAAATTGTAGTTATTATTTTGTAGGGCGATTAAAAAAATGTCTAATAGATTCATCGTTTCTCCAAACTGACAAAAATTTCACGTAAAATAATGAAGATACCGTATTTTAAAGTATATTAAAAGTGTGAGAATAAATATTGCGCAAAAAGGGTATTTATTATTTTGTGGGGCGTTAAAAAAATTTCTGATAGGCACATCATCTCCTCACACTGGTACTTATTTCACCCAAAATAATGAAAGTACCGTTTTTGTACAAATACGTTGAAAGTGTAAGGAGAAATATTGCACGAAAGGGGTTATTCAATATTCTGGGGATTGTTCAAGGGTTTTCTGATAGGTTCATCGCCCCCTCATATGGGAAACATTTTCATACAAACTTCTGAAGATATCATTTTTGCATAAATTTATTGAAAGTATAGGAAGAAATATTGCGTAAAAAAGTGATATTTTGTGGAGCATCTTGCGTACCTGTCAATATTTTGGAACATGAGTACGCAGAATGAATATTCCCCTTTCAATAAATTAGACTCATACGGCTGGGACTGCAGTATCCAGATTCAAGAATCACTTCCATGAACTGTCATTCTGAAGGACAAGAATTGTTTCCCTCTCTCAATTTATACATACTGTATGAAAACGCTTGAGAAAGCTATTGTATAGTGAAACACGTGTTTCGATTTTGTAAACTGTCTAGTGAAAATATCAGAATGAAGTGTTACTTGAATATTTGATTTTCGGAACAAAATTCCCAAGAGAAACAACTCATTGTGAAATTTTCACTGGACGATTTACAAAATCGCAACACGTGTTCCGATATACAATAGCTTTCTCGAGCTGTATCATTCTGTATATGAAAAATATGTAAAAAAAAACGCTTGAGGAAGCTATTGTATAGCGAAACACGTGTTCCGGTTTTGTTAACTATCCAGTTAAAATCTCACAACGTAGTGTTACTTGAATAAGTCCGCTTACATTCTTCAACAGATAGAAAATGAAGCTAATGAAAATACTATCTTCCCTTCCCTAAATATTCAATGTGTATACTTACAGGTCTTCAATGTTGGATATGAACATGAAGGAATCAGGATGAATGAATGATATTTCATTGTCTTCCAAATCCCTACGAAAAATTTCATCAGTTCATGTAATGAAAGACATTCAACAAAAAATAAAGCAGTATACAGCATTTTTTATGAAGATTTTGTTTGATGAGTTCCAAGTACTCATTGATTTGGAATAATGGAATCATTTTATGTGTTCCAATAAACTTACAAAACTTGAAGTTTGGATAGGTTGAAAAATGCATCTTGAGGAATGTACTGAATCTGATTGTGTGCCAGCAAAAGATCGTGCATCTGCGTCATACCACGAAACGGCTTATCCTCGATGGATTTGATGTGATTGCTAGCAAGGTCACTAAAAAAAATTATAAACTGTAGGTTTCACTAGGTTTGAATATTTGTATCTACTCACAGTACACGCATGTCCTTGCAGTTATTGAGAACCGGCACCGCCCTCAGCTTGTTCGATTTCAAATCTCTGAAACAAACACATGTCAGGCAATTAATTGAATATCACTGATCTTAGGGAAAACAAAATCCGGACTGGTGAGCCGTGGTCATATTCAACTTGTAGTGCCAAATGTTTTGTTTGCTACTGCGGCAGACATCATCAGTGGTATATGGGGATGATTTTGGGGATGGTAGACACATTGATTGGGAAAAAATACAAAAACACGATCATTTTTTATTCAATGTGCTTAAGTAACTTCAGAAATGCTTCAAAATGTGAAATAATGTTTTGAATTAACTTATGTATGCCTTACATACATTGTGATTTTGAAAATATGCACGGTTTATTATTTTTATCATGATTTGAAATATAGAACATATATTTTTTCCTCAAGAGGGGGCTACATGATAAGTTAAGTAGTGAACAGTCACACATAAACGAACTCGTTATAAAATTACGTTGTCAATGGTGTGAGAATACCTGAAACTGTCCATATTCAAATTGTAAGGGCAATGGTTACAACGGGCAGGAAATTAGATAAGATGACTGAGTTTATGAAAGTTTACTATGTTACTGCAATAAAAATGGACTGGATTTTGTATTTTTTCTCAATAAATGTGTCTGGAAGATATGCGATCTGTTTCATTTTCGTTGCTGTACTCTGTATATACAAATATTTCTTGTAGGTGTATTTTATTATCGCTTTGAATCAACACTTTTGTAACTGTGTGAATGACGATTTTTATATTACTACCATGATCCGTTGTTATTTGATTGATTGACTGTCCCAACTGTACCTAGTCCAACTGTACCTACTCCATAGGAGCTTACGCATTATGAAAATGAATTGAAAACTCAACATATATACAGGGTGCAGGACAGAACTACTTGAACGATTCCATTCATATCTTGTGGATAGAGTATAAAGATTGAAAATCAGCCATCCGACAGACAAACAAACATCTGTCTACTTGTCATCTGCTCAAATAAACAACATAGGTGGTCCCCACGGATCTATCCTGGCGCCTTTGTTGTTCTCCATTTATATGAAAGAACTCTCTTTATTTTTACTTGGATCTTTATTTGTTTTTAATCGATCGAAGGAAAATTATTATTATTCAGCGGTATAATTGATGGTCATCATTTGCAAAGTAGGATTGATAACAGCACAAATACTCTAAATATCTGTTAAAATTTTCCTAATTGCCTCTAAAACTATTTATAGTGCTTTCTATATTGAACAGAAAATCAATGTGCTTTTTTTAGGTTTTTTAGGTTTTATTCTTGGAGGAGACCTGGTTCCATTAGTTCTATATATTATCGAGCCTAGTCATAACTGAAAGTCTATTATGCGACTACACTTCGGAGTATATCTATGAAATAAATTATTCCTTGCGAAAGCAACAGTTTATAATGATAACCGAGTTTCATTATTCATCTTTTTCTGTTCAATCATGAGTTAAAATTACTTCAACGGTCGGGATCTCAAACTTCACAATATTCTTTTCAGGAAAGTCAATCAATCAATCAAACTGTACTTTATTGTCCAAGAATAATTATTCTTATTGACAAAGTGAGTAGATAACAATGAAGTGGATATCCACTGTGTCCAATACATATGAGAGACAAAAAATATGAAAATATAAAATGTAAAGATGAATANACGGTAATTTGATGGATCGTCATTTGCACCACCTTTGTGAAGTGGGATTACTAATGCTTCTTTCAAAAAGGATGGAAAAATCCCCAATTCGAAGGACTTATTTATACATTCTGCCAGGATATGTAGTGCAGTATCAGGTAAACTTTCGAATATATTCACGGAGATTTCATCTATTCCTCCCGATTTCTTATTTTTTAATTGTTTGAATGTTTCTCTCAGTTCGTGAATATCAGTTGGCCCCATGAAAAAGTTATATGGAAGTTCATTTTGAAGGTAATTTAAAGGATCAGTATGATTATCCAAGTTTTCGGTGATTTTTTCAGCTATTGTGCAGTAATAATTGTTGAGAAAATCTGGGTCAATATTAATAGGAGGTGATAAAGAATTATGTTTTCCCCTCAAGTCATTTACTATTTCCCAGTGTTCTCTTGGTGTGTTTCGGCTTTTTTCGAATCTGGATTTATAGTATTTTTCTTTAGCGCTTTTGATAACATCTCTATAAGTTCTTCTATACTTGTTGAAATATGTCGAGAGAAATTCACTATTATTATATTTCCTGAACATATGCAATGATCTCAAGTTTTTGGCTGATATTCGGATACCGTTGGTGATCCACGGTTTTTCGCATGATTTTTTTAATTTTCGCATCGGGAAACTGTCATTGAAAAGCTGAATCAATTGTCTATGTGGAAAAGATAGATCTGTCACATGTTTTCAAGAAAAGATCCAACAACGTTTTACGAATCACAATTATTGCTGGTGATATCAAAAAATATTTCGAATATTTTTGGTATTTTAGAGTACCTACTTTTCACTTTTGTCCTTATCTTTCATTTATGTACTGTTAATGGCATTTCTATTGTGATCTAATCAAACTCATATGAATATAAAATTCATGTTCAATGGCTTATTTCCAACACATTTATGGATTAGGAAAATTTCATTTCATTCTAAATAATTGCCCTCGACGACGAATTTTGTTAAGGCAATGAATCATCCAGATGATTCTCTTATTTTATTAATAATATGATCTTCTACTTCTTAATCTTCCAACATTGACTCACTCTAGTGAAAATAACATAATCATTATGACCTCTTCTTTACTTCTCTCTGGTGTAAAAAAACTTTCGGCGTTCACATTAAACTTTTCGTAGAGCAACAAATAAATTCGGGGAACTTACAGGCTCTTCAATCTAGGACAAGTCGCACACAACGTCGCAGGCACCGACGTAATTCCAGCTCTGTCTAATCTCAATACTTCCAAAGCGCTGGTCCCGTTTAGATTCGGGAACGTGGACAGCTCCCTGGCATCAGATAGGATCCTACAAAAAAGAACGTAAATCAAAACAAATTACGTATTATTATCATTATTACATTCCGCTCGTGATTTATCTCCTTGTTTTTTTGCCGTTGGATGTTGGGATATTACTACTGAACAAGATTGGGGTCGTTTTGTATTAAATATGGGGAAACGGTTGTTATTTTTGTTTCGCGGGGCCTGAATTATTCGGAAGTTTTAGAGTAGGGACTAGTTTACAGTGTCGGACTAGGATTGAACATAACATATTGTCAGTTTCCAAAACGTACCCTATTGACTTTTGCGGTCGTGAATTATCTAGTCTGAACATAAAACAAGTAACAGGGGTTCCTAGAAGTGAAAAATATATTCTACAACGATGCGCCCCGATTTGACACGGGCAGCGTCGGATTCATTTTTTCCTACATCTTCAACAATTATCGTCATATTTCAACAAATTATTATCAACATAAAACTTCTCCTTGAAATTTTGATAATATTTACTGTTATCAAAATACATGAATTTGAAACTGCGCGTTTGTTAAAAGTCTTTTTAGGTAGATTAATTAAATAGAAAGTTGGCATACAAGTAGGTAATATGTTAGAAAATAAAATAGTTGTAATTTAGAAGTAAATTCTAATTTGAGAGTTCACGCCTTTACATATACTCTATTATCCTTCAACTAATCTTAGTAAATGAAGAGTGTCATATACTAGTGGAATAAACCCCAAATTAAGTTTTTTATACTATCATCCTTAACTAAAATTAGTAGTTCTCACTTCATCGGGACACCTGCATCTATTATTTCAAATCTTTGAATTACTGTTTTACTTAAATGACAAATGTAATTAATTATTGTTTTGGGAAACATTCTGTACAACAGACGAGAAATAATGACCCATGCGCAACCATTTGATCGTAAATGGGTTTTCTCCGTTTATTTGCAAATGATACCCAGAGTTTTTTTATGCCATTATTGTAAACATTCTATTTTCCACTCATTCCTTTCACATATTTCATCCTAATCCATATTGCAGAGCGGCCTTTTCAATAGCGAGTGATTCCTTTCCGTTTTCATATTTCGAAATGAAAATCCTATCGCGCTTCTCCGTATAACGGCTGAGACCTGTAGTAATCAAAATATCCCAGGTTGTTAGCTGAAATTTCAATATTCTTTCACATCATAATGGAAAAACAAACAAGAGAGATCCTTTTCACAAGCAAAATGAAAATTGGTTAACTCGAGATAGGAAGACACCAACGTCTTAATTACATTTGAGTTTCAGGTGTGTAGGTATATTCAGTTATACAGGTCACTCATTGAAAAATGTTTTAATGAATATTTTATAATTTCATCATGAATGAAAAGCTTTCATTTAGATCCATTCCAAAATGACAAAACACCTCAATATTTGATATTTTCAATTCGAGTCAGTTGTTGAATGAGTTGAAATGCATATTGTTGCAATGTTTCGTTTGGCGATTTATGTTTTTTATGTTTTTTTTTAAGGAAAAATCATGAGCACTACCGGAAAATCTTCAAGGCGCTCTTAGAGCGGTGCCTATGCGAAAGTGGCGATTCACATGGGGGTCGAATCGCTGGAGATTANTCCCAAAAATTAATCTCTCCTAAAAATATACGCTTTCAATTTGAATATTTTTCAAATTACTTACCGACTTTATTTCTGGGATAAAAAATAAGTTTGTTGCTGTTCTTTAACAGTGACACAATGCATAAACTAGTGATGCAATCCACAATTTCTGGGGTGAATTATCTATCAAATGTGATGGATCTTCCCTAACTGTTCCTTTGTCTATTCAAATGCATTTTTCTAATCTTTCACGATTCTATTCATCTTGTATGAGTTCGGGGATGTTGACTTTTGAGAGGTTTATTTCATTTCAATACAATTTTCATTTCAATTTTGACGCCTTATTTCATAAAAGTTAGTTGTTGCTCGTGACTTCGTTAGCGAGGACCTCGGTTTTTTTGTCGGATTTTTAAAAACAAAATGGTCTGCCAACTATACCAAAGCATTCATCATTTGTAGATTCATTGTAATGAGTATTATAATTAGTAATATTGAAATTATGAAAGTTTTTAATATTTTCCGTCTCATATAATATATTTCTGTCAAAATGAATTTTTTCATTTCCCAATTAACACCAAGAATTCGTTATAATAATTCGGTAGACTTTCTATATTGAAATGAGCCATTCCTTTGTCATACCTGGTATTATTTGCTCCTTCCTGTATATAGCTTTGAAAGCTATAAGTAGTTTCTTTCTTTCATAAATAATCTGCTTGAATTCTTCACTATTTAGTTTCATAAATATCTTGACAACTCTCCGAAGTCGAAACTTGTGCGACCTAAGGTTTACCTAGGTCTTACCTTTTAATGTGCGATTTCTACTCCATCTTCCATTTTAAACTTTTCTTTTTTAGTCTTGGCCATTCATTTATTCAAATTTGACTATTTGACGCATGAGAGAATCACTTTTTATGATTTTGCACACCACTGATTTTATTTTATTTTCAAACTTTAAAAAAATCTATTGAAATTATTGTCATTTTGTGAGTGATACAATCTCACAATTCTGATTTGTAAAATCATTTGGAGATGTATGTTAATAGGTTTAGTTCACCTAACGAGAATATCACGCACCAAGATGAAGCAAGAAGAAGATCTCCCCAAATGCTATTGGTCCTTTGATAACAAATATTATTGTTCTGGGGATGAGCGTTATTATCACTCTTTGAAAAAATTCCTCTGTATATTGGAAGGTTTACCACATGATGATTGGTTGTGCTCTGAATACCTTAATTTATTTCATAATGAAGAGCTGAACTTTTTCTATAGCTCCATTTGTCAAAGTTCCACTTCAATGTTTCCGTGATAAATCTCAGCGGAGTATCTGACACATTGCTGAAGACCACAAATCATTCCCTATTTCAGCACCACTAAGTCTAACATGCTATAAATATGTCAAAATCGAATAAAAACATTTGTTGACTCGTCTATTTGTGTCTTTGAGTGAATTATTGGATTTATTTTTGTAGTTTTAAATGTTCTAGATTTGGAATATGAAGGTGTGAAAATGGACATCTTGGTTTCGAAAACATTATGAATTTCTAGAAAAATTTTCTAAAACACAACAAAAAATTATATTAGGAATCTTAAAAGTTTTTTAACTTATGTCAGTTGATACATTATGCAACTATGCATGACGTGTTTGAGATATTACTTTAGTGGGCCTTCAAATATGTGTCCTTTGCTAGACTAGGTCAAATTTTCCAACTTTTTTTGTTTAAACTATTCTCTACTGTATATTGGATGGTTCTTCAATTCAAAACTCCACCAATGATCGAATTTCGAAACAATACTTGTTTTTGTGTTTCAGTTTTAAATCAATCATCTTGCTTATGAGCACTTCAATCAATCATACCAGGAATTCGAGCTGGATTCCAATTATAATTATTCATAATTGAATATTTGATTTCATTGGGTTTTTGGTTTTTTACAAGATCTAAGAGTAATCATGTTACGTTTTTTGTGACATTATTCTTGATATTTGAATATTTGCTGTGAATTTTTTCAACAGCAATTAATTCTGGTTTGATTTTGGATTACCACATTGAAAGAATTACGAAGTAGACATCCTTCTTTTCAAAGTCTATACAATTCTGGACAGTATACAATTTCTCATGGTGCTCTAAAAGTTATGAGCGTTGATGTTCTCAGAGCGGTCATATTTTTCCGCACTGGTTTTTCTGGACGTCTTGATTCATTGCAACCGTCCCATATTCAAGATATGCTCAGCTATAGTTCTGGTAGTTGTGGCGAATATCCAATTCTTTAACGAACCTTAGCAACATTTTTCTTATATGAATCTTCATTATGTGTCTTAATGAAGAAAAAGACTGGCGGCCTACATCCTTTAGCTGTGGGAAATTTTCATCGACGTTTATTTGCGAAACTTGCTTGTTTCAATATACGAACAAGAAGTACAACAGGGAGATCCACTCGGATCACTATCGTTCTGTATTTCTATCCATTATCTTATAACTAAAATATGCACTGAATTCAACGGCTGGTATCTGGATAGTGATACAATAAGTGACAATGCAAATGTGGTATTAGAAAATTTTCGTAACATAATAAGTCATTCGATGGACCCGAACATAGCTCGTGGTATACGTGTGATTGAAAACCCCAATTGGTTTCTTCTTGGTGCCCCACTGTTGTTTGGAAGAAAAAATACAATCACTTAGTGTCATGTCAGGGCGCTTATCTAATTTGCCAACATTCCATTTACTAAAGGATCAATTATCCATTCCAAAGTTATCGTATATAACTGAGGTGCAACCCTACTTGGCATGTAAAACAGGGGTTACAGGGATCGATGAAAAATTAAGAAGGATGCTGGCACTCATCACCAATAACCGTATCAAAGACGAAACTTGGTTGCAGGTATCACTTTCAGTTTCTAGAGGAGGATTTGGGATTAGCCACTTTACTCGCTCATTTCTGTCCTCATGTTGCAGTGTTTCAAATCTTACAATACCCAAAGCCAATATCTGACTGTGTTTTTGATCAAGGCATTTCTTTTTGGCCATCCATAACTGGTCAAACAGTAGAAATTGAAGACATGAAAAACCACAGGGCATATGATAAACCATTACTAGTTCTAGCAACTAGTATTCTACCGAAGACAGCTTCTGACACTTTGGTTTCCAAAAATTTTTCGAATTGTCCAGTAATACATTCTTCAGTCAAAACTCTTGGGCTCAATGTGTTGAAGAATATTGGCAACACCTATTTCATGCACAGTGTAATCCAATTGATATCAAAACACAAGATGGTTATTAGAATATTTAAAAAAAGATGAATACATGAAAGATATCAATACTAGTATTTCTAAAATGGAGGGTGCTTCAATCAGAGCGTTCGAAGAAGTCATCAAGGAATTGTAGTCAGAAGATTGATTTAATAGAGAGGTAAGTAAAGTCTCATTGAAAAGTT